AATATTCCCAAATATTCCCAAATATTCCCAAATATTCCCAAATATTCCCAAATATTCCCAAATATTCCCAAATATTCCCAAATATTCCCAAATATTCTCAATTAAAAATCTGAATTCCCCAATGGAGAATATCTACTCCCACATTCACGCAGGAAATACGAACTCGTCCTAAAATGGATTTGCGACAATGCATGTCCAATATCCAATCAATCAGGAATAAATATTTCCAAATGAGGAATTCCCACTGGATTCTAGAATATGCATTCCGGAATGAAAAATATGAATATAAATCGTTATATAAATCGTTATCGGTAAATAAAAATTTACGCGAATTGCTATTATTTTTTTTTTGTCACAGTTTGCTAGATCTCCATCTGATGACAACTCCCGGATTGTTTGGATTCGATGATAGATATTTGAAAGATGTGGAATGATGGAAATGATCAATTGAATATGAACAAATCAAAGTGACAGTGGTTCTAGTGTCGTTGTATCTCGTCGTGCCCAGTCGGGCTAGCCAGGGAAAGTGCATAGCTCACCACTAAAGCTAGTGAACGCATTGGACTCCTTAGCCTCGATGTGTAGGATAAACTCAACTCAGCAGACACTAAAATTATTTGAGTAAAGGTAGAATCACTCTTACATAAATACAATCCAAGTCGTATCTTGATGCTACAAATGAATTCTATCGAATTATACCAACGGCCCCTCAGAGTCGAGTTCAATTAATAGATCTTCCATTCGGCTAGGCGAAAATACCATTAACTCGTTGATTAACCACGCGGATTTCCGCGCACAGTTGTATTTACGTAACATTCATTCAAAACTCCAGAATTACGTCAAAAAAATGTGAAAAAGTGATAAATAAGTGACCGTGAATGATTAATCGTTGTGATTCTGCTGATAAACATATTCCAGTTTATTATTAAAACGTGAGATGATAAAATGCACTTGAAGACGGAGAAAAACTCGATTAAATGCTCTTAAACGGTTCGAATCTCACGAATTTCACTGAGAGATACTTGACCATAACAAA